AAAATTCAGTATAACCATAGCGCCTGCATCAACACAAAGATACATACATATGTAATTAATCATTTTTAATATATGTATGTAAATGCATTTCCACAACAACAAATTAATGTTACTGAATTTTTTTTTCGAATTACATAATTTAAAAATACAAAATATAACAAACTAAAAACAAAGATAAAACTATAAAGTCGAGACGAACAAAAAAAAGTGATATGGGAAAGTGGCATGATTTTTTTGTAGCCCCTAACCTTGCCAAAAGAAAAACAAAAGCGATAACGGTTTTTGGCTGATTTTAAAATTGATTTTCAATACCGTTTTCTGAATGTCACTAAACTTTCGATGGCCGTTAAGAAAGGGTTGTGAGAGAGTTGAGGGTCAGGGTACACAATTAAAAGAAAATTTTATGTAGATATCTATGTGTGTGTATCGGGCTCATTATCAGCAGTTTACCGCCGGCTGTTTATTATTATTGCTGGTAATATTATTTGGTTTTGTCTGTGTATTTTTAGTTTTGTATATATATTTTTTGTGATCGAATTTTGCCGCTGCTGATAAGCCCCCCTAAGCTCAACAGTTTATGAATTACTTACACTAGATGAGGGAAATATGTGGGGTATTATTAGATGTTGTAAAATGTATTCAATATTATGTCCATATTGTTGGAGGGTTTTTATTATGCATTACTCTATTTTATGTTAGTTTGTTTCAATATTTCATTGATAAAATGCAGTTATATGAATTCCAACAATTATATCGAATAATTGAAAATCTGAATAGAAATAATAAAGAAAATTGATTTACAAAATTTAATATCCTGCTATGAAAGGACCAAAATCGGTCGGTGTCTATTATATGATACCCTTAAACCCATTGGGTATAGGTAACATTCATATTGAAAACCATAATCAATTCAAACACAATGTAAACCTTATACCTAAGATCAATCTCTAAGCTCCATTCCATTCGGTCGCAAATGAAAATTTACGAACATATATTCCAAGTCCAATCCTGAAACGAAGATGTCTTAACAAATTGGAATTTAACCGAAAATAGTCAGACTGCACAGGCTTGTTAAGAACAAATCCTTTCCAATTAGTAGTAAGGTAATCCACATTTAAAAATAATGAACCGGAAGCTCGGCTATTCGTTACAGGAAAATTCCTCACAAATAAAAATCCCCATCGTTGTGAATATATTTTTTCTTTGAACGATGTCCCAATCTTATTCTTCTTGATTTATATACATTTCCAATGAAAGGAAGTCGTACATTGTATTACCATTAACTATTCCGCACATAAATTATGTTTCTATGTGGGCTCCCTCTAAAGATTAAGCTTATCAATTCTCTCTATCGAAACTAAAGGTATGACCTTCAAATTTATGTTTTGTGTTACTCTTAGAGCATAGGTAGGTGTATGTAGGTAGACTGGCGTGATTCATTGTTTAGAACATACCACGAAGTACACAAACAACACTAGACATAATAAATAAATAAAAAAATCATATCGCTATAAATGCCGTGAATAAAAAATGGTTCTCTTAAGGTTTGGTAGAATTATGTACACTCTGCTGAGGCATGGCAAATTTTTTTGTGTCTACATATGGTTCACAATTTTGATAAACGTTCCAAAAATGTTTAATGAATACCATATTCCAAATATGTTTCTAACTCCTCTCGTCCTCACATAGACGACAGTAAACCTCTACGTTGGAGTCCCATTTCCCCACAATGATTTTGAACTCTCTGTTATTATGTGACAACAGCGAATAAGTTTTTCAGCGAAAGAATTCATTGAATAGCTTTCGCGATTCCGCAACATTGTTCTCTTGACCATCTGTTGCCGACTACCTCGCCGTAGATCAAGCGGATTTTGCCAATGAAATAGCCAATGGGCGGTTGCACATATCTCTCAATCGGAAGGTTGGACGACTGTGGACCCTCTCGAGCAAGCTCGTCGGCTATGTTATTCCCTTCTATGTTGATATGTCCTGGAACCCAACATAAATTAACTATCCGTCGTATATCATGCAGAGCATCCTTGCAATCAAGAACTGCTTTTGAGTTTATAGTGCACGACTTTAAAGCCTTGAGGGCTGTCTGACTATCGACATATATAGTCACCGGTCCCGTATTATCGGCAGTAAGTGTTTTGACTATCTCGGCCGGTTTTGTGATTGCAAGGATTTCTGCTTGAAAAACGCTACAAAGATCGTTAATTTTATATGAGTTGTAGATTTCTAAATCCTTACAGTAAACGCCAGTGCCTTCCTCCATCTTTAACCCGTCTGTGAAAAATTACAGATCTGGCAGGGACAAGGATCCACTAGTCCAGGATTCTCTACTAGGAAATTCCAAGCCATGAAAGATATTCCTGATGCAGATGGAAGTCTAGATAAAAAAATGAATTCACTGCAACGATGGACCTATAAACTCCATTAAATAATACAGAAATAAATGTCCTGCTTTGTTTTGGCTTAACTGAATTCGGATCAACAGAACTATGACCATTGTTTGACGAGATTTCAAATTCAAGCCAAGAAAGATTTTTCCGATGCAGATGGAAGTCTAGATCATGAAAATGGATTTACTGTTATGACGGATCTATAAAATCAATGAAATAATTCAGATATAACTGAAATTATTCTGTTTTTGCTTAACTGTAATCAGGATGCCACAGCAACTTATAATCGAGTTTGAGCTTGAATTGATGAAATACCTCAAAATTATGTAGTTGGACGTCTAGTTCAATGGATTAACTTGGAAAATTACTGTCCTGTGTTGGCTTAACTGAAATCAAACGAAGCTTGAACTATAATGGATTAAATACCTCAAAATATTAGTCCGATATGTGAACTAGTATTTATCGACAAAAGGTAATTTCTAATTCTCGTTCACACGGCAGTGGGAACCAATAAGGAGACCCACCGTGTAAAAATAATAGGACTTCCACTAAATAACAACAACAATGTAACGCAAAGTCTGGCCAACCAGTTGAGACAGATTCATATACGCCATGACTCAGCAGCTGTCATGATGGTATCCAAGGCGTCGTCAATACATGGGACATAAACCATCTGGTCGGTAACGAACCCCATCAAAATTATACAACAACATGTGGTCGTATGTTGCTATATTTCTACATTATATATATATAGGGTCTATAAACAGCCTTTTGTAATTTTGAACAGCAAGAGACAACATCTCAGGAACCAAAATATCATATTTTGATACAAAAAACCCCAAGTCCTACAATGTGTTATCTTCCTTCTTCATGGAAACTCCAGCGGCTCCTTTCTTGCTAAAAAAAATCCACAACAATACCCCTCTCTTATTTACCATTCAATTATTTATGGCAGAAGCCATAAGAAGTAGCACAATGCCTTCGGCTATTGCATATGCTGGTCGAAGTATATTTAATTTCCGTTTCCCAAAGATCCATATTGAAAACAGAAAATCGATTTACATTTGAAATTGATTTGTTTCATATTCTGGCAAAGTCCATATATAAATGTTCAATCGATTTGTGTTTTTTTGTTTTTTTGTTTTTTTTTTTTTTTTTTTGCTTTCCTTTGGGGGTATAAAAATTGCTTCAATGTGGATCTAGATTGACTTCCAGAGATTAAGATTTTTATCAATACCCTTCTGTAATATTGAACGACAGGGATAATTTTGCCAATCCGCGCAATATCCTATGTTGATACAAATTCGTCTATTTCCAATAATGTGGGGTGTCCGTATTACAGGAGAGGCATTATGAAATTATCTTTAAAATGCCAACAAATCATACAAAAAAATCCTTGGAGTGGACTTGACAACCTCCTTTATTTCTCCTCGCATTCCAATTACATCAACCAGAAGGTGAAAGCTAGGAATAAAGTTCTGAAAGCATTGGCTGGCACCTCCCGGGGCAAGGATAAAAAACGTTGGTAACGAATGATAAGGCCATAGGTCGTTCCATCCTGAATTATTCTGCCCCAGTCTGGACTTCTTTTCTTAGTGACACAAAATGGAGATTCTTGCAAACAACCCAAAATAATGCACTCCGAATTGCAACCGGCTATGTCCAGATGACGAGCGTTGATCATCTCCATGAGGAGACCAGGATGCTGTCAGTCAAGCAAGCCATAAATGTCATACAGATGCAATGAAGTCCTACAACAAAATTCTCGTGGGATTTCGGAGAGTGAGAGGCTTCTTCATAGGCAAACCGGTTCAACCACAAGGTCAACCATCCTTCTTGGATATACTATCAACTGATCTGATCTATGTCCTTCAGGAGCAAATATATACGCCATAGAACACAAAAATCTGGCTCAATTTGACCCGCTAAATATTGACCGATCTTCATGGCCACTTGTTTAATATGGATGTATACTTTGACCAAACCTTCATATAAAGTTTCTTCGATCGCTTTCAGACTTTTTTCCACCTCATAGTTGAGGGTTTAATTTTATTTTCAATTGTTTGCAGGTCCAACCCCTTGATGAAGGGTTCGTCCAAACTTTTTAATTTCTTCTACTAAAATCTTTAGAAAATAAATAACAGTCTCCCACTTGACCTCGATCCACCACACTATAATATATGATTTCTTCAAAAATTATTGATCCCTTTTTATCAGTTGGTTCCAAAGGAGAGACATTTCATTTCTAGAAGAACTACGAAAAGTATATTTAAATGGAAAGGTTGAAGTCCAAAACATCTTTTGAAACAAACTTGCAATCAAGGCGATACCGATACGTATTTATAAAAATAAGTTCGAAACAAAAATCTTATCTTGCAAATTTAATGATACTTGATTATGATCAATAATCATAATAATAAAATAAAAAAAACAATTTTGAATTCCTACATTTGTGTTCAAAATTATTCACGCCACCTAAAAAAGGAAATTGAAATTCCGAACAACACTTGATTCCAAAATAATATTTCTAAAAAAAACTGAAAATCAATAACCGCATCTCATCATCATTCAAATCGATCATAATTTTTTTTTACTTACCACATTTGGTGGCAGTTTGTGTCCTGGCAAATATTTAACATTTTCATGGGTGGTATTGATGATTTCTGTTAATTTTTTGCCATCGATCATTTCTTCGTAGACATACATGGTGACACGCTCCTCGAATTCGGGCAAATTGGCGCAGTTGGCACCCACAATCTTGGCGATGGCGGAGCCCCTAAACAACGAATCAAACACAAAAAAAAAAAAATTAGAAACCAACAAAAAAAATCAGAATTTGGTTAGCAAAGGTTATAGCCATAATCACTTTCATTAACAAAACGAAACAAAGCGATGATGTTGTAATACATTTTGTTTTCCTTTCTTTTGCATTTCTTTGGTTTTACAGAAAATGCAATTATATAATTTTGTTAAAAAAAAATAAAAGAAAAAAACAAATGCATTTTTTAGGTAATTGTTTTTTAATAACTTACCAGTTGCCGGAACCGACAATGCATACGCTGGTCTTTTGAGCCATTTTTTTATTATTCGTATTAACTTATATGTGTGATTTAATTACTTGATTTTTTCAAAACAATGTTTCGAATATTTCTTTTTTTATATTATCGTAATATTTTTTTACGTTACGTTGTACTAAGTTTTTTTTTCAATTATTTTGCAAAGATTGCGTTTATTTTGTTGTTGTTGCGTTTTTGGTTAATCGATTTTTTCTTAACGAACACAAAATGACACGTTAAACACGGCCGAAGCAGCAACTACGACTGACTAGAAAAATTCAAATTCATTTACGGTTTGCTGCCAGCTGTTGGTGGTTGGCTCCCTGCTACTACTAACCGCAGTTCGCTTCCGCAGCAGCAGAACTACAATGTGGACAAGAGCACAGAGAACATGTCTCTATGGAATTCTGTGAGCATGAAAATAAGGAGGGGGACAAAATGGTTTATTTGTGCTCTGTGTTATCTTTAGGTTTTGGGCTAGTTCATGTTAAAATAATCTCTGTTTTATTTAAGTGGCTCTCTTCGGGACTCTTAATTTTTAAAATGTTTGCTATGTGTGGGGGGTAATGAACGTCCGCACTTCTTACTCATGTGAGCAGTGAATGATGCAGTTCTGTCTGCTTCTGTCAGCCTCCCTTTCTGATATAAACAAAAGAAATTCCAACATCGTCTTCTAACTCAGATAAACAATGACCTTAGGGTTCACTAAACGTCCGAGATAATGTGGCTGATAATAGGAGGTATTATCGACGATAGGAATATTTATTTGAAGAGGAACATTTTGAAAGATCTCTCGGTTTCTCAAAATTACTTCCATAGGGAAAATATTGAAATATTATTTTTTTACGCATACAAATTATTTCCTGTTTAATTCTGGAGTTTCCGAGTCTGAGAATGTTGTTTCGGATGTTATTTATTTTTGGATGCTGAACGAAGTTGTTGTTATTTAAGAATCCCTAATGTTGGTACACTATGAGTTGACGTAACAATTATTGGTTCGAGTGAGACTTTGGGAATGGTAAAGCGTTGTTCCGGCGCAATAAATAATTTAGACCCTCAACCAAACTGTTGCTTTTGTGTTAACATCCCTTCCACACCATTGCCGGAGATACCAATCGTTTGTGAAAAACACAACAAAAGAAATGACTGATGGTGATGTCGGGGTTCTAGGTATTGCTTTCCATAGGCTTTGGCTATTCGTCCTCATATAGACGGAAATAACAGATTTTTGGGCCCATATTTTGTTGACTTGTTAGATACCGAACATAATTTCTATAGTTGTTCTTCTTTAACGTTCTGGGTCTGTACTTGAGGTAACAATCGTTTTTTCCAAATAAAATTCGTGTCTTTTCGGATGGTAGATTTTAATGTATTGAAGACGCAGTGAACGAAATGACAAATAGTGATATCAGCATCTATGCTGGATTAAGTAATGAGATCCTTAGTTGAACATTCGTTGAACATAATGTGGTGTTCTAAAGGTTCTTCCTATTCTTCGTTATGTAGACTGCAATAATAGATAGATCTTCATGGTATATACTGTGTTCACTTGGCATAAATTTAGGTAATCGGTTTTGCCTTAGTACCACCTTCATTTTCTGTTTGCAATATTTGATTTTATTCCAAATATTTCTGTTCAGGAAAATAAAACATCAAGGTTTTTCAGTCCTGAAGAACTCGATATGGCTATTTTCAGCCAATTTGAATGAAAAACACATCTCGGACATCTATAATTGGTGGAATTTTATGCTTAGATTTTGAACTCGATGATTTCAACCACTGTGTGGAGGTGTTCATACGGAGATCTTTATCTTAAAATCGAGCAGATCTTGTATATATGGGACTATTTCAAACCAAGAGCATACATTTAAAATTTTCTTCGCCATAGGTGGTTTAATCTCCGGGTCTCATAAATATTTTACATGGGCCAATATTGGAATATTCTGCCAGAAGCCCTTTTAAATACCTAAAATGATCTAAATGACTAGTTCTATAAAATAGCTCACATTTTATTAGATGCAAATTTTTAACCACTTCTGTTGGAAATCTTCAAAATTGGTGGTACAAATATGTAAGAGCAATTTCAAAAATTTGGAAACTTTGCGAATTTTGTAGGCGCTTTATACAGTGTTCTAAAATTAGATTTGCTCTATATCGATGTTCAGTATAAATTTGGACCAAATCAGATATTAAAATAGTTTTGTATAACTTTTCAAGATGTCGTATCTGTATGACCTCCTCTTGGCTACTTCATTGGCATAATCCGTAAGAACTACAGCGAGGAAGCCGGCAATAGCTGATCAGAGAAACATGGGTGCAGGATTTCAGGCACCATCTGGCCTGATTTTTCACATCGTAGAACTATTTCGCTACAGTCACATAGGAAAAGGGAGAATCTTTGAAGGGATCATAATAGGCCAGTACAGGATTAGATCACTCACTTCCAAATGGGACATCAATGAAATGGATTATTGCCGTTTATACGAGGATATGAAAGATTTACAAACAAATGAACATATACTCTGTAGTTGTTCATCGCTAAGTATCAGAAGATATCGACTGTTTGATAAATACGAAATTGAATTGTGAATATATCCCAAAAAAAGATCCACTCTACCATTTTCTACAGTCCCCCTTCAGTTTTCTCCTTTTTCTGGTGCCAAGGATGGCCACAATTAATATAATGTATTCGAGTAAAAACAACTGGTGGCGTTTCCACAACAGAGGGCTCTACGATCCGAAACGATCAGAATCTTACTCGGCCAACGTCTGTCTCCTCAGTCCATTGTGTAAAATCAATATGCCTGCTACAACAACAACTGGTGGTTGAACATTCTTTAACTTAACCGAAGTTTCGTACTTTTGAGGAAGTATCAAAAGATGTTGATCGATAGACTCCATGCAAATCTGATATTCAAAATTTTAATAAAAGTATACCCCCTGTTGGTTAGGTACGAAAAAGAAACCATAAGGTGATTTCGACGTATTTATAATTTTTCGAACACTTAAGGGAAGGTACTAGAAATGATAGGCTCCATCTTCGGATATGATCTAGATAAGATAAACATTGTTTGACGTTTAAATTTAAATTAAAGCTGTTACTGAGTTTTTCAAAGTGATGCCAATTTATGGGGGGAGCACAAGAGGTTGGGGATAGATACGTCTGATCTCAGATCATTTTTGGTACAAAAATTACGATGTGTAAACATTTGTACAAATTCGATATTTAATTCGCCTCGTAAGAGGTTTACATATTTTCAAAATGTTGAGCATTTGTACCAGATACCAACGAGGAGTGGTCCAATAAATGCTGGGCTTATGTTGTGCGAAGTTTGAATCAAATCGGAAACATACTCTCTTCGCATGATAGCATTTTTTTTTCTTCTGCAGGATAGTTGACCATTTTGTCAGGGGAAGTACCGAATATATGGACCGAAATTCCCTGTCTTAAAACATGATTAAGGTTTTGGAAGAAATATTACAATATTCAGCGTTTGTAATCTATTACATTCTTCCAGAACTATCGGTGGTGGACGGACATTTCAACTCTAAATTGTCTGTTTCCTATTGCAGTATTCGTGCCTCATTTAAGAAAGAAATGATCCAATGGCATTTTGTTATTGTGGTTGTAGCAACTAAAATACAAAATGGCATTGTGCTGTCTGGTTTTGGCTCCTCCGTATTCAAATTTAGCAAGGTTATCACCTGTTTAACCTATGTCCGTTGGGAATCCATAGACAGGTGACTAGCCTTAGCTGGACAGTTAAATAGGTGCAACAAGTCGTGTGGGCCATCAATTCGTTCACATTAGGACTACTCTTGTCTGTCTAGACAGTTGCATCGCTTCTGCTGCTATGTATCATAGATTGTGTTAAAGTTAAGCATTCATACGGCATTGTTTTACAGTCTGAACCACAGTATCAGACATGCATGTCCATCGACATTTGGTTGTGTAGATGGACGAGTATGAGCTTTTTCAGGGCAGCGTTCTGGCAGGTCTGAAGTTTCTTCCATTGCGTATCATATTCATTCGCAGAACAAACTGGCGCCACTGGCCGTTTTATTTTTTCACAACAAATCAACAAGGCATTCTTATTAGTCTCCCCAAATGCAGATACCAGCGATCTGGTGTTTACTTTCTTAGTTTTAATTTTTGATGCCTAGACGGGTTTGTTGGACCAAGATTTGAAAACTTACAATTATGCACAGATGCCAAAAATGAACGCCTTCCAATTGAAGGTACTCTGGGTGTATGGCCTTCGGATTTCTCCCATATAGTAGTGTAAAATTTGCCTACATAATAGTAGCACTTCAACGTCTTAATTAACTTCTTAAGTAGAATATTCAATGATGTTAACCCGGGATTTAAGGCTTTCACATGTGGACAGTTGCAATCATGGCTATGAATCCAAAGTCCCTTCCAATCGAATGCCATATGGATGGACTTATATTTTTTCTTGTGGACAGAGGACAAAGTAAATTTCCTGCTTTTGACCCGGATGCGGATTTTTTTACATTCAAACTATGGAGGAGCAAGGGGAACTTTAGGGAATCAGCACAGCTAGATCTTATCTCTCTGATCAAGAAAATATTCATTTTTTCCTATATCAAAGTTGGAATTTCATTTTGTACATGTCTTCGTTTCCACAAGAAATATATGCAGTTGTAATTATCCCCACAAGTACTCAAAGCCTGCATTAAAATCTTGAAATCGATCTGACAACAAGCAAATGATGATATAATTTTACACCTGTTTGAAGAAATTTCTTCCTTCGCTGGTAAAATAATAACAAACAAGTTGTTTTGGTCAGTTTACTTCGTTTTGTAAATATGTATGTAACCAATAAACCGGACCGGAATGTATGTATGTACGTCGGTTTGCGTTCCACAAAATTGCAAAATAACAAGAAATCAATCTGTTGTTGCGAAACGTTCCTTTTTTACACTTTATTTTCTTAAAACGCCGACGAATTTCCGGTTATCACGACGAGATTAACCGATTAGAATGGAAATTTCCGATTTTGCAAACGGCATTTAATTGATTTTAATTAATAATAACAA